TAAATGGATGAAGAAGGGAAGAAGGGAAGGGGAAAGGAGAAGAGGAGAAGGAAGAAAAGAAAAAAATATGGATGAAGAAGGAAAGGGGAAAGGAGAAAAGGAAAAGGAAGTAAATGGATGAAGAAGGGAAGGAAGGAAGGGGAAGGGAGAAGAGGAAAGGGAAGAAAAGGAAGTAAATGGATGAGGGAAGAAGGGGGAAGGAGAAGAGGAGAAGGAAGAAAAGAAAAAGTAATGGACGAAGAAGGAAGGGGAAAGGAGGAGAGCAAAATGAAGAAAAGGAAGTAAATGGATGAAGAAGGGAAGAAAGGAAGGGGAAAGGAGAAGAGGAAAAGAAAGAAAAAATTATGGATGAAGAAGGGAAGGGGAAAGAGAAAAGGAAAATGAACAAAATGAAGTAAATGGATAAAGAAAGGAAGAAGGGAAGGGGAAAGGAGAAGAGGAAAAGGAAGTAAATGGATGATGAAGGGATGCAAAACAAAACAAGAAACAGCCCACCTCCCTCCCTCGCTCTCTCTCTCTCTCTCTCTCCCCTCCCTTCCCTCTCTCTCTCTCTCTTCCTCCTCCCAACCGAAACACACTTTCCTCTCTTGGGCACAAACCTTGTGCAACCCATCTGGGCGAGGATCTGCCTGCCAGCCTCTCGCACTCAGCTCCTAGGAACGCAAGGCAGCTCCTGGCATTTTCATTTAAGGCTTCTCGCTCAAGTGATATTTCCAGTTTTTCCCGTGCCCAGACGGCCTGAGAACTTTTCCTGCCTTGGCTTCGGACCAGGGTTTTCCAACTTTAAGAGGGGGGGGGACTTCGACTCCCAGAATTCCCCAGCCAGCTTTGCTGGCTGGGGAATTCTGGGAGTCGAAGTCCCCCCCCTCTTAAAGTTTCCAAGATTGGTTAAACCCTCCTAAATAGGCAGAAATGAGCACGCTTGAGCGGTTCCTGGTTGCAAAGTCAAACCATTCCCGAAGATTCCCATCCCTGGAATTATTTTCTCCATCTCACAACCTTCTCTGGCTCGCCCCCCACCCAGGAGACCCTCTCCTCACAATTTCAGTATTCGGCGCCGAGTCTTTTTCGGAAAGACTGAAAGACCTCGTTTGGCCCTTTGCCTGTCGGGTGAAAATGCTGACTTTTGGCCAAACTCTGCACCTTCTCTCTTTAACTGATCCCGATTTGGGGGGAAATTCCTGCGTTTTGATAGCTTCTCCAACCTGCAGGAGTCTGGGGTGACAATGGCCATAGGCCCCATAAGTTTGGGGGAGACTAGTATAGTTTGCTCTTTGGCAAAATACTCTTTGTCTGAAATGGTGTAGGGTTTCCTGCTTGAGCAGGGGGTTGGACTAGATGACCTACAAGGTTCCTTCCAACCGGGTTTATTCTATTCTATTCTATTCTATTCTATTCTATTCTATTCTATTCTATTCTATTCTATTCTATTATTCTATTATTCTATTCTATTCTATTCTATTCTATTCTATTCTGTATTGTATTATTCTATTCTATTCTATTCTATTCTATTCTGTATTGTATTATTCTATTCTATTCTATTCTATTCTGTATTTTATTATTCTATTCTATTCTATTCTATTCTATTCTGTATTGTATTATTCTATTCTATTCTATTCTATTCTATTCTGTATTTTATTATTCTATTCTATTCTATTCTATTCTATTATGTATTGTATTATTCTATTCTATTCTATTCTATTCTGTATTTCTATTCTATTCTATTCTATTCTATTCTGTATTGTATTATTCTATTCTATTCTATTCTATTCTATTCTATTTTACTCTACTCTATTCTATTCTGTATTTTATTATTCTATTCTATTCTGTATTTCTATTCTATTCTATTCTATTATTCTATTCTATTCTAACCTATAATTCTATTCTATTCTATTCTATTCTATTCTATTCTATTCTATTCTACTCTACTCTACTCTGTTCTGTATTTTATTATTCTATTCTATTCTATTCTATTCTATTCTATTCTATTCTATTCTATTCTATTCTATTCTACTCTACTCTACTCTACTCTGTTCTGTATTTTATTATTCTATTCTATTCTATTCTATTCTATTCTATTCTATTCTATTCTATTCTATTCTACTCTACTCTACTCTGTTCTGTATTTTATTATTCTATTCTATTCTATTCTATTCTATTCTATTCTATTCTATTCTATTCTATTCTATTCTATTCTATTTCCCTAATTTATAACCCTTTGTTTAGTGGCCATTCAAAGCTACACCAGCACTGAAAAACAGTGACTTACGACAGATCCTCACACATATGACCACCACATCCTCAGGGCCACAGATCAAAATTCAGGGCTTAGCAAACCAACATGTACCCAGGCCATCCTCTGAATCACGACCAACATTGAGCTCAAAGTTTCTGTTGCTGAGGGAGACAGTTCTAAAGTGATTTTTGCCCCATTTTACGACCTTCCTCGCCACAGTTGGTAAGGGAATCACTGCAGTTTTTAAATCAGTCACACGGTTGTTAAGTGAACCCGGCTTCCACCTTGACTCTGCTTGTCAGACGGTCACAAAAGGCGGATCCCTGCAACCGTCGTAAACACGAGTCAGTTGCCAAGCGTCTGAATTTCGATCACGTGACTCTGGGGGAGGCGACGAAGGCCGTAACTGTGAAAAACGGCCGTAAGTCACTTTTTTTTTCAGTGCCGTTGGAATATGGAACGGTCAGTGAATGAACCGTTGTAAATCAAGGATGACCTGTATTTGTGACGGTCGCAGCATCCCGGGCTGATGTGATCATCATTTGTGACCTTCCCAACCGGCTTCCGACAAGCAAGTCAACGTGGGAAGCCAGATTCGCTTAACGACTGCACGATTCATTTAACGACGGTGGCCGAAATGGTGGTAAAACCGGGCGCCCCTCACTTAAAAACTGCCTCGCTGGGGTATGGAAACCCTGATCTCAACGGTGGTCATAATCTGAGGACCATGTGGTGGCATTGTGGTTGGGGTGACTGGCTCCATCGTATGGCCTCCGCGTCACCCTCTCGACAACACACACACACACACACACCCAAGATTACGCACAAAAACGGAAAGACATTTTTTTAGATTCCCACAACAGACGAACAGCTGCAGAAGTTGAGAGAGTCGGTAGAGAAGGCTAAACCAGGGGTAGGCAACCTTGGCTCTTTCATGACTCGTGGACTTCAACTCCCAGAATTCCTGAGCCAGCATGGCTCAGCTTGGAAACCTCCCCCTTTCCCCTCAGCATGGCTGGCTCAGGAATTCTGGGAGTTGAAGTCCAAAGTCTTAAAGTTCCCATGGTTGGACATCCATAATATAGACCAGGGGTAGGCAACCTTGGCTCTTTTATGACTTGTAGACTTCAACTCCCAGAATTCCTGAGCCAGCCATGCTGAGGGGAAAGGGAGAGGTTTCCAAGCTGAGCCAGGCTGGCTCAGGAATTCTGGGAGTTGAAGTCCACGAGTCATGAGGGGGCCATAGTTTCCCCCATGCTGGCTCAGGAATTCTGGGAGTTGAAGTCCACGAGTCATAAAAGAGCCAAGGTTGCCTACCCCTGGGCTAAATTTACCACAGCATTGATTGTATAAACCAGAGGTCCCCAACCTTGGCAACTTTAAGACCTGTGGACTTCAACTCCCAGAATTCCTGAGCCAGCATAGTCACAAGTCATAAAAGAGCCAAGGTTGCCTACCCCTGGGCTAAACGGACTACTTTGATTAAAGCAAAAAAGACAATTACTTTTATTTCTCCTTGGAAACCACTTCTGGACTTTGTGCTTGAGGTGGGGAAAAAAAAAACCAACACTTTGATTTGGGGTTTTCACCGATTAGATAGCTTTGTTGTTTTCTAGAAATGACTAGTTTGTATGATTACGTAAAAGTAAAAAAGTTGAAGTTTGATTTGATTATTCTCCTACACACCAAAGGGAGTCGGATGTAAACACCGTTTCTTTCTTTTTACCGTTTTCCCTTCCTTTAGAATAGAACAGAGTTGGAAGGGACCTTGTAGGTCATCTAGTCCAACCCCACCCCAAGAAGGAGACCCTACGCCACCTTCTCCCTCCCCTATTTTTCCTACTGTTTCCTTTTGTATTTTTGTATTTTATATTATAAACTGATTTTTAAAAAAGGGAGAGAGACTCCCTCCCCAGGCTGCCTCCTCTTGATTTCAGCCCCCAACCCATTTCTTTGTTCTAGCTGAAACCTCCTTCTGGGGTCTGCCAGCCAGCCCACGAACCCCCCCCCATCTTATCCGGTGACAATTTTTCCAACTAACGCAATTGCAAAAGTCCCCCAAAACGTTCAAAAGCAGAAGTTTCTCTCCGCCGCGACTTCCTTCATCTCGGCGCCTCTGACGAAGCGCACCAAACTGCCTGTGAAGCCAATTGAGTAGCTGGGATGCGGGTGAGAATCCCCCGGATTCGGGGGCCGTCGTAGATTAAGACCCCGCTCTTTCTATAGGGCCTCCTTATAAGGAGAAGTTTCCTGACGGGAAGGACAATTAAACCAGTGGAATGACTTCCCTCCAGACGTTGCGAATGCTCCAACACTGGAAGGGAGACTGGACAGCTATTTGTCAGGAAGGTTTCCTATCTTAGCAGGAGGGGGCTGGACTAGAAGACCTCTGAGGTCCCTTCCAACTCTGTCCTCCTGTATTCTGTTGGAACGGTCAAGCAGATGGAGGCGGTCTGAACCCAGCTGGCCTGGGCGAGGGGCAGACTTGGGGTGCCCACGGGCACAGCCTGTCGCCGAAGCTAGGAAATTGGGGGGGGTGTCGGGGTTGGGGGTCAGCAAAGCCAGGCCCAAAGTCCCACTCCCCACTTCTCTTCCCCTGCGCCTCTTTCTCTCCTTTAAGCAGCAGCTGCTCTTGCTGAGGCCGCTGTCCCCTCCACCCTGGCGCCCCAGCCCTTTGCACCCAGGCTGGAGTTTGACCCAGGCTCTCCAGCGGCAGGGAGGACCCCGCCCGCCCGCCTGCCCTTCTGCTAGCCCCACACGGTACCTTTTCACACGGCACGGCCGAGCACTGCACCCGGGACCTGGCGATATTTAACAGGGCATCCACCGAGCGACGAGGCAGAGCGCCTTCCCGGCTGCCAGACAGGAGAGTCCAGAGCTCCTGCACGGCTGGGTCCTGGGGGGGCTCCGGCAGGGCAGCCCCCAGCAGGCAGAGGAGCACCAGGGCCACCTGGGTGAGACTCATGGCTGGGCAGGAGGGCTCGGCTGCCACAGGTGTCTTCGTCTTCTCTGCCCTGGGAAGTTTGGGACAGGTGGCTGGGCGCGGAGGTCTCCTGGCTGCTGCTGCTGCTGCTGCTGTGGCTGTGGCTGTTGTGGTTGGGCTCAGGGGATTGGCTCAGGGTGGAATTGCCCCAGGTTAACCATTCCACAAAACCTGTCTGGCTCCACCGAGCCCCTGCCCAGATGGGAGGGCAGGCCTTGGCCAGGGGGAGCAGGCGAGGTGGGGCAAGGAGGGCCGGGAGCAGGAGGCAGGGCGGCCGGGCCAGCAGAGCCCCAAGGAAGGGAAGGGAAGGGAAGGCGCACAGGTCTTGCTCAAGCCCCGTGAGCTCATACCCGTGGAGGGTGGCAGCAGCGCTGGGCTCTTTCCTAACCCCGCTGCTGCGGCGGTGGCTGGCTGGGGGCGGGCAGGGAAAAAATCCCTTTGCAAGCCGAGTCATGTAGGCTTGGGGGGGTGGGGGTTTGACAGGGGGATGTTTAGAAGAACCATTGGATCAGTGAAAGGATTCCGGTGCTGGCAGAATTTGGGTGCCGGTTCCGATGGAGAGCATGGACTGTGTGTGTGTGTGTGAGCTCCAACACTGGAGGTTTTTAAGAAGGGACTGGACAGCCGTTTGTCCGAAATGGCACCGGGTCTCCTGCCTGAGCAGGGGGTTGGACTAGATGGCCTCCAAGGTCCCTTCCAGCTTCTGCAAAGGTCTCCTGCTTGAGGAGGGGGGTGGACTAGATGACCTCTAAGGTCCCTTCCAGCTCTATTTTACTCCACAAGGGTCTCCTGCCTGAGCAGGGGGTTGGACTAGATGACCTCCAAGGTCCCTTCCAGCTCTATTTTACTCCACAAGGGTCTCCTGCCTGAGCAGGGGGTTGGACTAGATGACCTCCAAGGTCCCTTCCAGCTCTATTTTACTCCAGAAGGGTCTCCTGCCTGAGCAGGGGTTTGGACTAGATGACCTCCAAGGTCCCTTCCAGCTCTATTACTCCACAAGGGTCTCCTACCTGAGCAGGGGGTTGGAGTAGATGACCTCCAAGGTCCCTTCCAGCTCTATTACTCCACAAGGGTCTCCTGCCTGAGCAGGGGGTTGGACTAGATGACCTCCAAGGTCCCTTCCAGCTCTATTTTACTCCACAAGGGTCTCCTGCCTGAGCAGGGGGTTGGACTAGATGACCTCCAAGGTCCCTTCCAGCTCTATTTTACTCCACAAGGGTCTCCTGCCTGAGCAGGGGGCTGGACTAGAAGACCTCCAAGGTCTCTTCCAGCTCTATTACTCCACAAGGGTCTCCTGCCTGAGCAGGGGGTTGGACTAGATGACCTCCAAGGTCCCTTCCAGCCCTGTTCTTCTGCAAGGGTCTCCTACCTGAACAGGGAAGTTAAATGTTTTCAAGGGAAAAACCAAGAAAGTCCAGTTGCCTTTCGGAAAAAAGCCCTTTGGGGACACCCATGACCTGGATAACTGACAGTCTCCATAAATATTGAGGTAGGATCGACTTTTTAGTGGAGGCTAAAATATACAAAAAAGAGTTGCAGGAATTGGGTCTGTCTAGTTTAATGAAGAGGAGGACGAGGGGTGACATCATAGCAGCCTTCCAGTATCTCAGGGGCTGCCCCAAAGAAGAGGCAGTCAAGCTCTTCTCCAAAGCGCCTGAAGGCAGGACAAGAAGCAATGGATGGAAACTGACCAAGGAGAGATTCAATTTGGAAATAAGGAGGAATTTCCTGACAGTGAGGACAATTAACCAGTGGAACAGCTTGCCACCAGAAGCTGTGGGTGCTTCATCACTGGAGGTTTTAAAGAGAAGATTGGACAGCCATTTGTCTGAAATGTATATACGTTCTCCTGCTACACCAGGGGGTTGGACTAGATGACCTCCAAGGTCCCTCCTGGCTCTGTTATTCTCTTTCTGTTATTCAGCCAGCCGTTGGGTTCACATCGTGCTCAACCTGGGTTTTTCCCTTCCTTGGGTTCCTCAGGAGGAGAGACTGCAGGATTTGACTCATCCAAATGGTTTCCGTTTGAACCACAAGATGACACAAGCCTTTTTTGGCTTCTGGGTGCGAAACCCGATCCCTGTTGAATCACCCAGACACCTTTCCACAGCAGGCAGGGGAGGGGGCAGGCCGATGGGCTCTGCAGCTGCCAGGAGGGCTCTGGAGTTTAAAGACAGACAGTCCCTCAACTTACAAGCATTCATTTAGCGACCGGAGTTTCAATGGCCCTGAAAAAAAATGACTTTTGGCCTGTCCTCGCACTTACGACCCTTGCCGAAGCCCGAGGATCACATGATCGAGATTCGGGTGCTTGGCGACCTGTATTTACAACGGTTGCAGCGTCTCGGGGTCACATGATCCACGTTTGGGACCCTCCTGCCGGCTTCCGACTAGGAAATTCAACAGGGGAGTCTGGATTCGCTTAACGACCGCACGATACGACCACAGTGATTTCCTTAATAACGATCATGTGATTCGCTTAACCGCTGCGCGAATTCACTTAACAGCTGTGGGAAAAGGAGGTTTATAAAATTAACCCTGAATCTCTTAACAACCGCCTCACTTAGCAACGGGAATTCTGCCCCAGTTCTGGTCATAAGTAGAGGACTTGCAGGAGGGCGTGGGAATCCAAAGCCTGGTTTGTTCTTGGCTTAAGGAAGATGTCAGAGTGTGCACTAATTTATTGCGCTGAGATAACCCAGGAGTAAACACAGTAAACAGCGGTCTATATTAAATGGTGGTTTATCTTACACTAGCTACAATATCATACACCGGGAACAATATACATACATGTGCTAATACAGCAGGATCCAACAAGCCACAGTTACAGCAGGAAACGGAAGAGAGAGAACACATCAGCAGAGCCTTCCCTTTATACAAAGGCTCCTAAAGAGACTCAGACCCTGCTTAGTCATTCCCATCATTACATTACATCTTACATCCCACACTACATAAGCTGGTTAGATGGCAAATTAATACCTTGAGAGAAGACAAACCACATTTCCTTGGTTGATGCTGGAGACCCTGCATAGCCTGGATTTTCAGTGGGTGTCCGTGACTTTTCCAGGCTGGACCGAAAGATGCAGAACCAAAACAGATCCAAAAAAAAAGGCATACAGACGGTCCTTGACTTACAACTACAATGGCTAAATGAGACAGTTGTTTAGTGAGTTTTGCCCTGCTTTATGACCTTTCTTGCCTCTGTTGTTAAGTGAGTCACACAGTTGTTAAACGAATCGGGCTTCCCCCGTTGACTTTTGCTTGTCAGATGGTCACAAAAAGGGGATCACGTGACATCAGGGACCCCGCGACCATCATAATTCTTGAGTCAGTGGCCAAGTGTCCGAATTTTGATCACATGATGCTGCAATGGTTGTCAGTGTGAAAAAAAACAGTCATGTCACATTTTCCAGTGCTGTTGTAATTTTAAACAGTCACTAAATGAACTGTTGTAAGTCAGGGACTACCTAGACCAGGGGTGGGGAACCTTGGCTCTTTTATGACTGGTGGACTTCAACTCCCAGAATTCCTCAGCCAGCCTCCATTTTGTTTGTTAGATTTAAGAAAGGAGTCTTCAAACTTGGCTCTTTTATGACTCGTGGACTTCAACTCCCAGAATTCCTGAGCCAGCATGGGGGAACTATGGCCCCTTCATGACTCGTGGACTTCAACTCCCAGAATTCCTGAGCCAGCATGGGGGAACTGTGGCCCGTTCATGACTGGTGGACTTCAACTCCCAGAATTCCTGAGCCAGCATGGGGGAATTATGGCCCCCTCATGACTTGTGGACTTCAACTCCCAGAATTCCTGAGCCAGCATGGGGGAACTATGGCCCCTTCATGACTCGTGGACTTCAACTCCCAGAATTCCTCAGCCAGCATGGCTCAGCTTGGAAACCTCTCCCTTTCCCCTCAGCATGGCTGGCTCAGGAATTCTGGGAGTTGAAGTCCACCAGTCATAAAGCGGCCTAGGCCAGAGGTAGGCAACCTCGGCTCTTTTATGACTCGTGGACTTCAACTCCCAGAATTCCTGAGCCAGCATGGGGGAAACTTTGGCCCCTTCATGACTCGCGGACTTCAACTCCCAGAATTCCTGAGCCAGCGTGGCTCAGCTTGGAAACCTCTCCCTTTCCCCTCAGCATGGCTGGCTCAGGAATTCTGGGAGTTGAAGTCCACCAGTCATAAAAGAGCCAAGGTTGCCTACCCCTGACCTATACAACACAGGGAGTCCTTGACATACGACAACAATTCAGCCTGCAGTTTCCGTTGCTAAGCGGGACATTCGCTAAGTGAGTTTTGCCCCATTTTACGACCTTCCTTCCCACGGTTGTTAAGTGAATCACTGCAGTGGTTAAGTGAGTCGCACGGTCGTTAAGCGGATCTGGCTCCGCCCATTGACTTTTGCTGGTCAGAAGGTCGCAAAAGGGGATCACGTGACCCCGGGGATCAATACGAGTCCATGGCCGAGCGTCTTGAGTTACGATCACGTGACCGCGCGGAGGCCGCAGCAGTCATAAGTGTGAAAAACGGTCCTAAGTCGCTTTTTTCAGTGCCGTCGTAACTTGGAACGGTCACTAAATGAACCGTTGTAAGTTGAGGACTCCCTGCATTCAAAAAGAGGATGATCAGAGACTGGGATCTGTTCTCCACCGCTGGGGGGGGCTGGTCAAGGGTAAGGTCAGCCTTTCCCAATTAGGTTCCCCGGAAATTGGACTAAAAAGCCCATCGTCCCCAGCCCAAAGAGTAGCATTAGGGTTCCCTCCCCCCAGAAGGGCTGGTTGGCCTTTTTAAAATCCAGATATAGCCCTTGACTTGCAATGATTCATTTAGTGACCAATAGTGAAAAAAGGGACTTAGGGCCACTTTTCACACTTAACGACCATTAAGGCTTCTTCGTAGTCACGTGATCAAAATTCGAACTCTGGGCCCCTGGCTCGTATCTATGACGGTCGCAGACAAGTCAATAGGGAACCCAGATTCACT